GGGGGCTTAATAGAGAGAGGGCTTAATAAATATCTTTACCTACAAAGGGAGGGGGCTCATTAGAGAGGGGGGCTTATTTGAGAGGGGTGGCTGAATAGAGAGAATACTTGTAAGAAATATTCCTCTAAATATTGTAGAAAAAATTTGGGTTTTTTAAAATTTAGATCAGATATCTATCTGTATTTACAAAAACTGTACAATGGATCTTATTTGGTGGTTCCTATTTAAAACTATTGAGGTTGTTGTGTTTTAATAAAATACATAATATATTCTAGGAAAGGAATCATTTACCTAGTAAATTGAATGAAACAGATAAACAAGCAAAGTTGAAAAATGCCATTATTGATTGGTTGCGAGAGCAAAATGTTGGCTGGTCGCCAACAGAATCGCAATCACTTGGGGTTAACTTCATATCTGTGGTAAGCTCAGCCTTATGGGAAATCGATGGAAACCACCAGACACTAAGCAGTCGAGGTTGTGGTGTTCCTTGCGATTTGTCCAGATTTCAAGGCTACAACAAACCAGAGGTACACACAAAGCGTAAGATTGATGCATCTCACCTTACAGAATCAAGCGTTTCCACCCATTCCACTGCTTTACTGGAGCTCTCAAACCAAGCTTACATGTATCTTAAACGCTGGAACCAGATTCGTTCCTGCATTCAACAGCTGACCAACAATCTCCGGAAATATAGCATCTATCTCAAGAACCAGCAAGAGAAAACATCAGCAAGTGCCAAAAAGCTTACTTTTGTCCAGTCAGAGAGAGAACTTTGGGAAACAATTAATCCAAAAGCCCTTTCAGATAAAGAAAAAGACTTGTTTGGATCTCTTCAGAAAGCTTTTCTTGAAGCTGATTATTTTCAAGTTCTTTGCTTGAATGATTTTGATCCAACTATTCCATGGCAGAAATACAACTTTATGAAGAATCTTGCTCTCTCGTGCAAAGCCATTAAATATACCTACAGCAGTGGTATGGCAAATCTGAGCTTCATTTGGAAGGTTCCAAGCAGTTGCAATGAAGCCACTCTTCTTTCAAGGAATATCAAAATAAGAGAAAGTTTATCCCCAGATCTACCAAAGCACCACAGTCGCGCAATGAAAAGAGAATTCATTCAGTCTTTTGGAACAGTCACTAACTGTAAACCAGCATTCTTGAGAAAGGCCTATCAAGTGCTAACTGGTGACTCCTCCTCAGCACGTACACTAGCTGAAAAGGAAGTAGATGAAAGAGTAGCAGAAATATTGGAGATGCAAGATCGAGAGTTAATTTGTGACCTTAGGGTTAACAATGAGGGAAGACCTGAAATGTACGAGGCTTTTCTAGGAGAGTGCAAGAAGTTTATCAATACTGCGGTAGAAACTGCAGTAGATGATCGACGACATGACGACATAGAGAATGGAGAATCTGTTGTGCATCTTGCAACAGCACTCAGTGTTCCTGACCTACATGCCCAAGTTAAAGAGATATGTCCGGAGGGCATACCCATACCCTCTATTCAATGGTTAAGGCTTCAATTCTGGCCAAGACGAAAGAATTCTGCAGCTGCGAAGCGATATTATGGATCACTGAAGATCAAGTACATGATACAAGCAAGGCAGTTTCGACACCAACATACTGATGCTCATTATGCTCGGCTCTTTTTAGATATCTGAAGGAGTTCTCACTAAAATATCGTCAGGACACATCTTTTGTGAGTATGGACGATAAACACTCGATGAAAGTTGGAGAGCCTGGATATCCAGTGGCTGCAGTGGAAAGAGGAAAAGAGGCTCTGGTTGCTATGGGGACCCGATTTGAAGTTGGTGACCATGATTTCACTATACTCAGCATCATTCCAAGTGTGATTTTTGAAGCTTGATATTCCAGAGAATATAGAGGGATCATGGTATAGTGGCAATGTTTCAGTGGGACTTAAGGAGCACACTTTCCAGCCATCCTCTGCAATACGCCATGTTACAGAACTACATGGTGTCCTTCAGCATGATGATCGCCCAATCTTGGCACTCTATACTGATGGTGGTCCTGACCACAGGGTAAACTACTTATCAGTGGAAATTGCCCTAATTTGTCTCTTTCTAAAAGAGGACAGAGACATGTTGGTTGCAGTTAGGACCCCTCCATATAATAGTTGGAAAGATCCCGCCGAAAGAGTAATGTCTGTGCTCAACTTTGGTGCCCAAAGTGTTGGTCTTATGCGGCAAGAATCGCCTATATTAGAGCCAATCATTAAGAACTGCAACAACATGAAGAGTATTCGAAGAGTCCATGAAGATAACACAGATGCAAAGGTGATTATGCAGAATCCATTCAGGAAAATGTTAAAAAGATGTGGCCCACTGACACTCCCTTGAGTGGTGCCTCTATTGACACATTTCCATTCACCCTCATATCCATTGTAGCATATTCTTTGTTTTCTGTCCTTCAAGAAACTGAGGTACCAGTTAATAATATACGGGTTAAGTGGGAAAGCTTTTAATTTACTTGCAAGTAGATCGTGCTTAACTGAATCGAAGGCCTTACTAAAGTCCATGGTGAACAGTCGGACTGCTCTACAGTCTGGATCGTCCATATAACTGTTTATCCTATGTTGCATGGCTAAAAGGGCGCAAGTACAGTTTCCACCGGCCCTATATGCAAACTGCGTGCGGCTTAGATTATTCTCCACAACATCACGAACATGGGTGTCATATACAATTCTCTCGAATGCCCTAGCTATCACCGGCGTTATACTAATGCCCCGTTATATATTGCTTTAAATCGAAATCTGAATATTTTAAAAATAAAGCAGAATTTTTCAGTTTTAACGACAATGGTTTTCACGCCCATAAAACGTTTGCAAGTCCATATATAAGTAAGGGTACAAACTACAAAGTGTTTTAAAGAAGGGTTTAAGATTGAAATTTCAAGTGTAAATTTTAATATACATTTATTCGACGTAAAGCTATATAATTGGGAGCAATTGACAGTTGCAAAAATGCAACTACATACTCTATAGGCCCTCTGGTAGGAATGAAACTTGTGGCCCTGCGATTCCGGTGCATAGACATAGTTGCGTGGTTAAGCGCTCGAAAAAAGCAAATTCTAGTAAACTAAATATACAATTTCAATCCTATTAAGTTTTATTGAAACACTAAAAAAGCTTCATTAGAAAGGCTATCCTCGAAAAACACTTTTGAGATTTGTTTGTTTAGCTTCAATTAATATTTAGTATATACGTCACGCATGCATGATTGAATGTGTTCCAGAGCATATTTAATAGAACTTCTGAAAACAGCTAAGTAAATACTAAAGATAGAAATCAATGGATGATTCCAACTGTAGACTAAATTTTGATCTAGGCAAGAAGAACAAAATCCATCACCACAGCTAGAAAGAGCATGTTAAAATTAGTAAAATTGCAAAGTTTGGTTGCGAAATGTTGTAAAATGCGTAAAATATAGCCCTGCGAAATTTGCAAATTTTGTATTAATTTATATTACGTACGGGAAAATGCACCACTTTCGGCCTAAATGTGGTGCATTTTTCCGCGCGTAATACAAATTAGTACAAAATTTGCAAATTTCGCAGGGCTATATTTTCCGCATTTTATAACATTTCGCAACCAAACTTTGCATGCAATTTTACTAACTTTAACATGCTCTTGCTAGCTGTGGTGATGGATTTTGTTCTTCTTGCCGAGATCAAAATTTAGTCTATACCTGGAATTGCCTATTTACGCAAAATTTTGGTTTTTACTGTAGTAATTATAACTACAATTTGAAAATCAATCCGAAAAAGCAGAATTCTTATTGAATATTGGCATCAACTTTAACCCAAGCCCAAGGGTAGAACCTCCATTTTTTTGCCTATACTATAAAGCAAGCATGTGTTGGTAGGTTTCACTGTTACTAGCATGAAGTGCAACGTCACTAGCGAAATTTATCACTATTTGCACATCAATTTCATGCATGTGTATTAATGAGACCGCTGACCGTAATAGATAGCTTGCGCAGTCTGCGGTCGCCAGAGACTCGCAAATAAAAATCATGTTTCTGAAA